GCGAGGCTCATCCTCCAGCAAGGTTATGTGGTCCTGCTCGCCATCCGAATGCACCCTGAAGGGGTAGGATGGCAAGGAGCGTGCAGGGTGGGCATAAGAAAGGGCGTCAACCCGAGCACACAGAACATCATCGATAGTAGCAGTGATATGTTTCAGTGGTTGTTTCTTCCCATCGTCCACCTGGTTTTCCTCTTTGTTTTCTTTTCTCGTCTTTTCATCAGCCCTGGCAGGTGGCTCACTCCGAGGTTCAAATTGTGTTTGAATGTGTGCTGTGGAATCTCCGCCACCAGCCTGCCAGTGGAGCAACCCGCTGGTGAACTCAGTGACGTATCCTAAGTGCTCTGTCATGTCTTCAATCAGGTCCTCTTTGTGGACAATCTTGATGGGGAGCTTATCATATTTACTGGCTTGTTTAGGTTTAGGTTCTAGGTCAGCGACAGGCTGTTCGACACACTCCTTTTTACTCTCTGCTCCTGTTTCACTCTCTTCTTCTTGTTCATCGCTCTCTCTGTCCTCTTCTTTTTCCTCCTTCTTTACGCTCACCTTTGAGTCCTCCTTCTCACTGTTAACCTCCACTGACTCTGGCTCTGCAGTGGCTGGTACAGATTCCTCCATGATGTCTCCCACTTGCTCCACCTGCGTCTCTGCTGCCAGAGTGGACTCAGGTTCAGGTTGGACAGTTGAGTCTGTCTCCTGGTCAGGGATGGCTTCTTCCTTCTGGCTAGAAGCAGGGTCCAAAAGGCTTTTCTGAGCCACGGTCCCTACCTCAAGCTCTTCTAGGATGCCAAAGATCTCGATGAGGAAACGGCGGAAGTACTCCACAATCAGCTCGAGGAATCCAGGCAACTGGTCGGACAAAGAGAAAATAAATCTCAACAATTTAAGCAGAAGGAAATCAGACGTGTTGCCAAAGTAGTCTCAGATGGTGAATGCTAGCCAACATTTACTATCTAGGGAGAGCATTTTTCTTTCAATATCTTGAATCCTTTGGATTACATTAGCAAGTTATTTCCCCCTCCTAACTACAATAAAAAAAAGGTTAATCTAGAAGATCAGGTTTAAAGACACACACTGTTATGTCATACTGACACAGCATGCTCTAGCGGGCTAAATTAATCTGTCAGTCAGCAGTCAATAAATTACCTGGGAGAGGTTAAAGGAGGCCACAGTGCTGTCATCGTACAGTAGGATGTTGATGGTGTCTAAAGCCCATGTGCTCTCTGCCAAGAGCCCAGACTTCAGAGACATCATCACGCGCCAGGCCTCGGGCGTTCCTGGGATTAAAACAGGGGGATTTTGGGGGAAAAAAGGGTGATCAGACATTATCCAAATGATAAAAGGGACGTTGAACTGAGTATATCAGTGTAATTCCTTTCATAAAATTTCCCTCAGGTCCTGCCAGTTCTACCTGAAAATTAGATTTAGCTGTACATTTAAGGCAGAGATAAAATGATGTTTCACAGAGCATGAAAATATTGTAAATCCACAACTTCTCAAGCTAAATGCACAGCTAGATTTAAATAATCAGCAGTGCATCGTTCAAAGAGCCTCACCAACCCATCCACCTTACAGCCCTATTCAAAACTGTAATCACTGAAATAATGGAGCTGCATCTCACCAGTGTCCTTGGAGTTGAGCTTTCGTCTGGGCTTAAGAATCGGCATGGTGGCCTCCACTGATCCTGGTGGGTAGTTGAGGTCCCTCCTCAGGTTTGGAGGAAATTGACCAAGGGGTCCACTGCCCTGTGAGCCCATCATCACCATCCCAGGCTTGGGCATCTTCATGGGGGACATGAATGGTGCTTTGCTGGGTGACATCCTAGAGTCCATGGAGCGCTGGAAGGCCCCTGGGCTTGGTGCTCTGGGCAGGTGGTTGGCCATGGATGGCGAGTTGGAATAAGAAGATGGCTGGCGTGAAGACAGGGTCTGCATGCCCCCCGATGATGACATGTAGGGAGACTGGCGGTGCCACTGCTCCTGTCCGGGCCGCCCGTCCATGTCATCTCTACCGATGGAGCCATAAGGGGGCATTTGCGATGGCGGCCCCTGTCTGTTGGGGTAGGGATAGCCAAGTTCTGTCCTCGATGGCCACATGTTGGGGCCATCATTAGCATGGTTAGGAGTGGGCCCCCCACCCATCATAGTGTGCTGGCTCTGACCTGAGGGGGCCATGCGGTCTCGGGGGTAGGGGAAGGGGAACTGTCCCTGGATGGGTCTGTGTTCAGGGCCCGAGTACCCACCACCGTAGTGGTTGTACATGTCCGGCTGCTGGTTGGCGTACTGCATCGCGTACATGTCGCTCTCGTGTCTCTTGGGTGGGGGGCCATACATGCCGTCCATGGGCCGTTTGTAGCCCTGCTGAAGCAAGGGTGTGGATAGTTAGTGATTTGTTTTTTATTAGTAAAACACACAGACATGGCAGATTCATTCTGATCATTCCACTGCTTCTGTAATGTTATGAATAATAATATTAATAACAATAGTCATGACCTTATTTGTGTAGCACCTTTTATTCAAAGGTGCAGCACAAAAAGAGTAGTTGGAATAAAAACCAAGAAACAACATTAAAGTGAATATTACAACAAAAATAAATAACTGAATTACATTTTCACTAATGACAAAACATTTCGAAAAAAATGTATTTATATTTATATTTATATTTATTGTAAAATATGGCTTATAGTAGAGGCTTGGTAGGAGTCAGAGTCAGCCAGGGTGCATCAAGTGTAAGAATAGCAAATACAAGGCTGACTGTGCCCTTCCATATCTACATGACTCAAAATGAATGAGCTTGGTGAATACGTTTTCAGTCCTTAGAGCAAATACATGTTTGTTTTTTTAAATATCTGTATATACTGTACCTGAAATGTCTATGTACGTTTTTTATGTATGGAGAGAGGGGGGTATGTGACTTTCATGAGTTTTCAACCCAAGGTATTATTTAAATTATTTATGGTTATGATTATGGTATGGGTTTAACTCAGTTCAGAATGTTTCTAAAATGGTAAGATCAATTTAAGAAGTACTCTTTCTCTCTGTAACTGGAAAAGCCAAGTTAGACCTGAGTGTGGGTTAAGCTAATGACAAAGTGCATCTTTTGAATTAATGATAGCCAATCAGCCGAAGCATGAACAATCCCATTTGCTTGTCTGGAATCACTTTTTGTCTTTTATAAAAGGAGAAAACAAGACATAAGTATACTTATATGGGAATTTATTTGCTTTTTGGAAGCATGTCTCATGTTTAATTCATATTATGAAGTTCTTCAATGTATTAACATACAGGTGGAATGAGTGGGCTCTAGTTTTTGCCACAGGGACTTAACTTTTGTATCCAGGTTTGATCACAAGAACTGGTGCTTTGCTGATGGACTTTTGAATCTTTCATGTTGCGAACACTGTGGAGAGGATGCTCTGCTTTTGTTTCATCTGTGGTATTTTGGTTCTTTGGTTATTTTGTTGTTTATTTTTTGTCTTTTGTCTTGTGTAGTTTGTGCTCTAACTAACTGTGGTGTAGGTTAGTGTCTCGGTTAAAAAGACAGTTTTGTTACTTATTTAACTGATGGTGCACACGGTCCATGGACTACTGATTAAGCCTATCCTTGAACATGCTGACTGCTTAAGCAAAGTCAAGCTTATTTTACTTTATGGAGAGAATCTGAAAATCGCTGCCCCCTTTCTATCATAGGAAAATGGAACATAAGAAGTAAGGAGGTGATAAAACAAAAACTAGTAATTTTACTAAATTAGGTTGAAATGCCTTATTAGAAGATATATATTACTCAGTGTTTTACTCATACAGTACATTATCTGTTGGTCAAACTGTGACAATCTTTGGACATTTGCTTCTCAAAATTGGTCAAACCCCGGGGTCAGTAATCTTTACTATCAAAAGAGCAGTTTTTGGCCCAAAAAAGAATGAAAAATCTGTCTGAGCCATGATGCTAATTTCTCATACAGTTAAACCACAGCAAACAATTCTGCGCATGCATTATTTAATTCTCTATTTTCCCTTTTTATTTGTAAAGGCTGCACATTTTTACAATTGGAGAATCTAAGAATTACTTTAGGGCTGCAAATATGATGAATGAAAATGTTAAAAAATAACCAGTACGTAACAGTTATTTATTTCAATCTAATATTTTGTCAAAGCCACAGGGAGCCACTGGTGCTGCATGTGGCTCTGGAGCTGTAGGCTGTCTTATACCTTCAATACATGAAGTCTCAGTGAACACAGTAAAACTACTGTATTTGCATCTTACAGTTAGAGATAAACAGTACTGACTACATACAAAGGAGCTCTCTCTCACCTGTTGCTGTGGGTACATCCCAGATGGATGCATCCCATATGGCATGCCGGGATACTGCTGGCCGTAGCCATCATGTCTGAAACGCAACAGACGGGAAAAGAGGATGAATATATCACTCACTGAAGACATATCATCTTGCTATTGTTTTGTCTATACAAGTGTAATCCACTACACACACACACACACACACACACACACACACACACACACTGGTGCTGACCTCTGCTGTGAAGGATATCTACTGGGAGAGTACATGCTGCCCTCACTGTTAGAAGGTCCCATGTTGTTCTGACTCCCAGGGGGACCCATGCTCCCCTCCATCCCCATGACATGGTCCGGTCTGCGGATCAAACAACAGAAGAGTCTTTATGATTCTGACACATACACCACATATGCTCCATGTTGCCCATAATAGGAAGGTTCATACAATAAATAAAAATACCACAGTAGGACTTATGTGCCATGTTAGGGAAATGTCCAAGAAATAAATATAAGAAATATAAGAAGTAACAGGTCCTCTTCTGGTAATTGGAGAGCCTACCTCCTGTCATAGCCTGGCCCGTATGGATACTGCGGCCGTTGGCTCATGCTCAAGGCCGATGGGGGTCGACCGTACATTTCCTGCATACCACCACCGGGCATCTGGCCTGGCATGTAGGGATCAGCTCCTGCCACTGCAAATGAGTCAAATGCATCTTAGATTATCTTATATGACAGTGAGTGAATTTAGATAACGTGAACAAAATGGAATAGAGATTTTAACAGGGATTAACTAACTAAAAAAATCATACATAATACAACATACATACATACATACATACAACAGAGGCTTAAACTTGCTTTACTTCTAAATGCATGAACCATATTTTCTGCTGACCACCAGGTGGCAGCCTTCCTCTATGAATATTCAGCACATTTCCATGATTAAACCTATTGTTCTGAGGCTGCAACTGTTGTTATGCAGCTAACATCCACCATATTATTCATTCAGACTCCATTCTCTTCAGCCTTCAGAGGAGCCGCTATCCTTTCTAAAACTACTGTTTGTTCTGAAAACTAAACCACATGAGATGGTCAAAACAGGTGCTTCTCAGCAGGATGGAAAGGATGAAAGGTTGAAAACGAGGAGGATGAAAAGGATGAACAAAGTTAGGATGAGAAGAAGGCTAAGCTACAAGAACATCAGACGAGCTGGTGTGTTTTTCGATAAAGGTATGTGTGGCGTAACAAACAGTTCTCATCTCCTTTCATAGTTCTAGTAGTAAAACACACACACACACACACAGACACATCTGTCCTGATCTAAGACGACATGGTGACTAGACAATGAATTAGACCAACGAGATAGACGAAAGAACAATGGCTTTGGGATACATGAGTCATTTTGACAAACAGCCAAGTAAGTTAATATAAAGTTTTAAATTTAAATATCTTCATTTACAGACTAATGTAAGTGTATGTAAGTAAGTTCATATGACAAAATAGTTGATAGTTTGAACGATTTTCTCTGTTAGTTGCAATACAGCAAAAAACAGTCTATTCACATAAGTCTGAGAATATTCTGTGAAATTGGGGAAACGGGTCTAGGTCTCTGTGTTTAGGTGAAAGGGTGTCACAGCATGTGCCTGACTCACTCTTCCTCATCCCAGCAAAGGGGTCCTTGGTGTCGTACTGCATCCTCATCATCATGTCAGGCATGCTGAGGCCCTGCTGGTAAGGAGCTGAGGGGGGCAGGGATGTAGCACGCTTCTGGAAGGCCGGATCGCTCACCTCCGAGAAGGGGTCTTGTACGCTCACACTGCTCCTGGACAAGGCGAGGAGGGAGGGAGGGACATGGAGGAGAGAGAAGGGAGAGGAGGGAGAGCGATGGAGGGAAGGAATTTTATGTAAACGCAATGCTTTTATTTTTGAAAAATATTTCTTACTTGTAAAAGTGGAGAAATATTAGCAGCAAAATGCACTTAACATATTAAAAGTAGAAGTACTACTTATGCAAAATGACCCCTGTCAGTGTGTTATTATATTATTGGATTAGTTTTACAGATGGGTTTCTGTAGACCTGTATCCAGCACTTTATGTTGTAGCTTGTTAAAGCTAATTTTAATGCCTTTATATACTGTCAAGCATAATCCATCATAATGTATCCTATTTTCTAACACATAATATAGTTTGTTTACAAAACCTTAATCTTAATAGTAGCTATAATAAATAAAAAATACATGTAATGGAGGGGAAAGTATAAAAAAAACAAGTATAGTACTTAAGTTCATGTATTTAGTTACTTTCTATCCCTGTTGTCATTTTCTACATTTATTTGTGTCTTGCACATACAAGGGCCCTGCCAACATGGGCTTCAAAGGCACTAAATAAACCACTGCAGTGGTAGAACAACACTTGTTAGACAAGAATACAACTCACACATAATATCACACACAAAGCAAACAAAGAACTCTGTCGGCTCTCCCAGGCTGCAAATAAAATCTGCCACAAAAAAAAGGCTCCCATCCTTTTCATACAACAAAAAATCAGCAGAGATGAGGAACACTTTACAAAAAAGTAAAAGCCTGTAAAGAGCTAGAAAACATTATATGGATTTTTTCTTCAATCTCACCTAAAAACTTAAACATCTGCTTCTATGGACAATGGGAATGCATCTGATCATAACTGTACACATGTACCTTTAGTTAAATCCTGCTTCACTACACTGTAGTTGTTTTTTATAAAACAAATTCCCCCCGGGGATCAACTAAGTATTTCTGATCCTGATTTTGATCTAATTATGAAACAATATTCACAGTTTAGGTTTATACCATCACCAACAGCCTCCTTGTTGTCACATAAGGTACAATATGTGCTGACTGACATGAATATCACACTGTTACTTGTTTTTAAAAAGTCCATTAATCGTAGAAAATAAGGAACTACTGCTACAACTCTAGTAGTAGTAGAGTAGTCTAGGCAGTAATCAATGTAAGAAGTAACAGTAGTGGTTGCAGTAGTAATAAAAGAAGCATTATCACTGTGAGCAGTAGCACCACTGTAGTAGTAGTGTTATGGTGCAGTATGCCTGTGTGGTACCTGTTGGGGGGTAGCGGTGTGACCTGTCCCAGTGGGGTGGTGGCAGGTGTCGGGGGTTTCAGATCCCCTGCTGCCTCCGCCGTAGAGCTGCTGCCAGAGGACTGTGGTGTCTGTGGGCCTTGGAGGGAGCCGCCGGAATTAGCTGGAAGACACAAGTATCCTTATTATCATTATTATTATAGCAAGGTGATTCAAGAAATTCACAGTAAAAAACTTAACACATTCCGACCGCAGGGCTTGTCCTCAGATAGGATCTTGAAGCTGGTCTGAGTTAGAACGGCCATAGTGGGCTATCACTGAAGCAAGGTGCTGTATTAGAGAGATAACTTTGGACTTAGGGCACTAACAGTGACACCCTACATGAGAAGTGAGCTTGAGCAAACAGCCTACATCAGGGCAGAGGAGATGAGTAAGGAGGAGACTGCTTACCAGGAGAGGAAGAGGAGGGAAAGGAGGCAGGAGGAGAGGACGCAGCAGAGAGAAGAGAAGGATTTCTCAGAGGGAATTGCCCACTTAGGGGGTCACAGCATAGCTCTTTATTTGGAAGCTGTTTGAAGATGGTTTAGCTTTTTTTATTTTAGGTGTGCCATGAACTTGATGAGGGGTTCATGTGGAGGGCTTAGCTGCAGGGCACATATGTATTCGAAGAAAATATAGGGTACACATTTACCATTAGTGTTCTGGGAAATGCAAGCTAATACGCAAGGAGGTTTGCGAAAGCTTGTGACCTCCTCCAAGAAAAAATACATCCCATCACACAGAGACTCAAACTGGGGTTAAAATTGGGTGAGTGCGCTCTCTTGTTATGACACCACACTTCTGTGAATTTCTCGGTTCAGATGACTAGAAAATCATACGAGTGCCGAGCTACAAGAGCCCACCACACAAAGAACCCCCAACCAGATAAAACCAAGGGATACAAATTCTCAGTAGCAGGTTTAATGGAAAATGTGGGCTGTTCCGGCTAAAAGATGACAAAGACAGAGAAAGAGAGAATATGAAAGTATCCTAATGAGCATTTAGCGTAAGAAGACTTTCTCTGGAGCAGCCTCAGTGGCCTTTCCCTGCACTGCACGTTTCCACAGGAAAAAAAAAAGAAAGGCTTAAGCTTTAAAAATTCATGCTAATTCTGAATTATTCAAAGATACCCCCTGCCTCTACATCACAGGAGACGGAGAGGAAAGAGAGAGAGACAGGGAGAGATGGTTATCCCATGACGATCAGCAGAGGTAAGAGACGGGGCAAAGGAAGGGGCAGTGAGCATTAAGGATTCTTCACTTATTGGGATATCCCCACTTCAGATACACATGAACGCGCGCACACACACACACACACACACACACACACACACACACACGTGGACAAGTGCAAACAATGGTGGGGTTAGCCGAGGTTAAGAGGTTCACCATTCCTAAAGAGTAGGCGGGCAGACGGATACATAACACGGAGCAGTGGGGGTATGAAGATGGAGGAGAGCGTGAACTCAAGTGCCCTCTGCTCCACATTTAGAGGGAGAAAAGAATGACAGAGGAGGCAGTGAGGGAAAAAAAAGTGTGTGTGTGTGTGTGTGTGTGTGTGTGTGTGTGTGTGTGTGTGCAAGAGGCATGTGGCTGACATTTGATGTGTGTGCGCACCAGAGCCTGTGTGTGTGTGTGTCAGCGGGTGACATAATCCAGAGGGGTGGTAGTGGTTGAGGGGGGGGGGGGGAGAAAAAAAAAAGTCAGTCAGCCGAGCCAGTTTTGTGAATGAAAGGTGACGGCGAGGTCGACTTTGTTTACGTTCTACATTCCAGTCCTCATTAATCACTCCCCACACCCCACTACCACCACCACCACCACCACTACTACTACTACTACTACACACACACAAACACACACACACACACACACACACACACACATACATACACCCTCTCCACCCCCACCCCCACCAGCCCGCTGGACAAACTCCCTCAGTGACATCATTGGGCTGTCAGTCTATATATAGGCTGGCAGGGTGTCAGTAGGGCAGCTTGCACTTTGGAGCAGGATAGCACAGACAGCCGATCAAGACAAAGGCAGGAAATGGAAGGGACTTTTTCTAGCTTGTGAACCTGCAGCACTTATTACAGAATTTACCCTGAGCAGCCAAAGTTTTAGAATCTGGGCGTCTACATAATGAAAATGTGTTCAAGACAAATGTATCCATACCTAAACTACAATAGGTGTCCATCTTTCAAATAATTTTGTATACCTATGTAGTCTTAAAATCCTATTTGTTTAAAATATTACTGACATTTGTATTAATTTCACTTAAATGTAATGCAAACACAATCATCAAGAAGCACCTTTAAATGTAGTCTTAAAGGGAATTTCTGGTTTATTACTACTCAGGTGTTATGTTTGTAGCTTTGGCCATCATTTCCGTCAGTGATGATAATATTGCACTGATCAAAGTAATTGCTAATATGTGGGAACTAGGCGAAATTGCTTCACAGAGGTCAGATGAAGCAAGAAACGAGTATTCAGACAATCATACAGGTTGTAAACAAGTTGCATCTTTACCACTTTATTGGGAGGTAAAACTGAGAGTGAGCGCACCCGAAATGTCAGTAATAATTAGGGTTGAATGATTTCCTCTGATTTAAAGGTTATTACCTCACAGGAATATATCCCTCTTTCCCCTGGATTCCTGGGATATCTCGATAAATGAGGTTTGATTTTAAAAACAGCACAGCAGGCAATTTATAAATTTTTTTGATGTTATTCATTCACATTCACTAAATTAAGTCATACTTTTAGTAGAGCAACAATTCTGTGGTATTGGAAAAAATCATGTTAACAATACAAACTAATTTGATTGATTCAACCATAGTTATAATGCCTCATTGCACAGATCATGGCTGATTCTTTTGCAGCATACATACATCAAAGCTGAACCAGGAAGTCAATCTGGTAACTGTGATGGAGGTTTACAACAGACAGTTAATAATTAAAAATGAATAATTTTACAGTTTGCCTTTGTTTTGTCTTTCAAAGAAGTCTGTTGGATCGTAGGACTGCTTGTTTTTCTTTTTCTTTTAAGCGATGTCGCTGTGTTCTCCGATCTCAGCGGTTAACTTGGTGAGAACAATGTTAGGAATGAAAGCAAACCCAGGATATAACAAACCTGTATTGCACTTCAAAATAGCACTTGTAGCACAGTATACTTTGTAGAGAAAAGCTTTTTATGGTCCTGTCTAACGTGGCAACAGTATTACAGTACTAGCTGTAGGGGTTCAGCTCTTGTGAGGACCACCCATTCTCACATACGCAGGTGATATAAAAAGTGTGCAGGAGATATTGCTTCAGTCAAGTGTTGCAGCTTAAGCACTTTTCAGTTTAATGCTGCATATCTAAAAGGAGGTCCAAACATCACAAGTACTGACCTTTTCGTATTTCACAATAGAAGCTACGTCTGATTATGTGTACCACGGTCCCATCAGCTGATGTGGACAAAATGAGATTCTGTCAAATTGACGTTAGATCCCCTTGAATAGATGAGAGGGGGCGGAATTATTAAGTGTCATGAGCAAGAAGGAACATGAATTCATTCATATGTGTTTATATATGTGTGTATGTGGCTCATGTGTGCTGTATATAATGTATGTTTGTGTGTGTGTGTGTGTGTGTGTGTGTGTGTGTGTGTGTGTGCGTGTGTGTGTGTGTGTGTGTGTGCCTGTGTATGTGCATGCAAATGAAGGCAGGTGCTCTTTTCCACCCACCAGGAAAAGCAATCTGCAGTGTCTGAGGCAGGTGAAGTGCTCTGATGTTCTATTTAAAAGCCAGGGTCACTTTTCTCATCTCCGCTGCAAATTAGAGACGTGACCTTACCGCTCTATATCGCTCCAACTCTTTCTCTCTCCTCTTCTGATCCTCACGTCATAATTGTGCACAGAGATACAC